TTAGATCCCTTTTTTAGACATGGACATATTAAATTTTAAACGCAACTAATATACGTAAGAACTAATTATAAAATAATTAATATCACGTATAATTGTTACATAATAAAATAAAATAGTTATATTATTTTATAATTAAATATTCATGCCTTAATCTGTGTTAACAAAAATTAAAAATTGATTAATAAAATAAAAAAAAATTACTTGAATGTGACATTATCTTAATTTCTACAGTAAAAATTATTTTAGATTTTAATTTTTTTTATTATTATGGAACCATATCAAATATTAAATAATCTTTTAAATGAGGGTGATAGTAATTTTGGATTTCTATCACAAAAATTTTATCAAATAGTAAATAATCTCCTAAATGATAATTTGAATATAATAATTATCTGGGATCTCCTTCTTATTTACATTAAAAAAGAATCCTTTTATATAAAAGTTTAGATTATGATAAGACATGAATTTAAAGTTAATCACTAATCTCTTTGAAAATTTTTAATGGAACATAAATTTCTTATCCCGTTTTTAATACAAATCTTTTGAAAATTTTTAATGGAATATAAATGTATTATCCCATTTTTAGTACAAATTATATATAATTTTTAAACTATTATGTTCTTATAATTTTCATATTATATACTATTGTATCAACTATAATTATTCAAAAATTGTCTTTGGTTATGAATCATCAACTATTACTTAATTTTAATTAATTATATATTTATTTAATTAAAATACACGAAATATCGAGTATTTTTTTACGCTAATAATAAGTAATGAAATTGCATGTAGGCTCAACGATAATTTACAAAATGTTCTCTTAATCACAAAATAAATAATTTGTAATAAATAATGGACTACAAAATATTCGCAATCACATTTTCAGATAAGCAAATCTAATTGTGTATATGCTTGTTAAGAGTGAAAGTTCCTTGATAGATGGTTTACATCTTTTGTCAAATTCTCCTCCTTGAATTCAAAATATTCAAAAAAAAAAACATTTCTTTTTGCGGTTTAGTTTGGAATTTTAATCTGCTCATTTACCAAAACAAAAAATTATTGAATAAGAGATGACCTTTAAATAGCCATTTCACAACGTACTGAACTAACAAGAAGATAATAAAATATCTTATCAAATCAAAACTTATCAAAAAACTATCTTATCTAATCTGAAACAAAATAACTCAAAAGATAAATCAAATAATTCCAGATAACTTAAATCGGATATCTCGGATATCTCGGATATCTCGGAATCTCTAGAAATTTAAGATTTTCCAACAGTTGATGCTTAATTTAAACTATTTTTCCTAATGATTTCAACTTGCTTCAGAGACATATAAGAGATGAATTATTGGTTTGCCGAGAAGTTTGATGTTTGTGCTGTCACAAGTTTTGAAATGGCAATCAAGGAGAAGACTGTGTTGGCGCTACATAATTATTGATGAAGCTCATCGAATCAAGAATGAGAATTCCTTTCTTTTCAAAACAATGAGGCTCTACAGTACAAACTATCGCCTCCTTATTACTGGCACACCACTTCAGGTTTGACACTTTGACATGTCGTATTATTATCCATAATGGTGTAGTCATCTGTAGAATGGGTTTTCGTTATCTTGAGTTTAACTTAACTTATTGGTTACGGGTGCGATGCAAATTTTCTCATTGTAATTGAAATTAGTGTGATGTCATATGTATTCTATACTAATCTGGAAATTTTAAAATAAAGAAACTGCTAGTAGTGATGGAGGGTTGGCTGCATTTTGAAATTCTAAATTTTTCTTTTAATAATGGTCCTCCTTAGTTGTAGTAGTGCTGGAGGGGAATGAATAGTATCAGTTGTGGAGATTTTGTTAAAGAAAGAATATTTAAAATATAATTAGCTATTCTTCTGGGAAGACCTTTACTATGTGGCATGTAGCAAAATTTTATTAGAGGTGATGCATTGGGCATTATGTGTTTCTGAAAAGACTTTTCACCAACAATCAATTTAGGTTGATTAACCTGTCTGAAGAGCTAGATGATTCGTAACTTTGCATTAGGTGTTGTTGGTTTTCAATTGTCTATCAAGCTTAAATTGTGTAATTATATGCTTTTCAGGCTTACTTTGAAATATGAATTATTATTTTTTGCTTCTATTTCCTAAAGTATTCACTGGTGTCTATTATATCTTTTAGTGGCACAGAATAATCTTCACGAAATCTGGTCTCTTCTAAACTTTCTTTTGCCCGAAAGTTTTAGTTTTTCCGAAACTTTTGATGAATGGTTTCAAATCTCTGGTGAAAATGACCAACAGGAGGTTGTTCAACAATTACACAAGGTAAATTATGGAACCATCTTTTGATTGTTGAAAATCCTTAATGTTAATCTAGTACATAATTGACATCTTCATTTTCTATTTATATTAAGGTCCTCCGTCCATTTCTTCTTCGAAGATTGAAGTCAGATGTTGAGAAAGGGTTGCCACCGAAAAAGGAAACTATTCTTAAAGTAGGCATGTCCTAGATGCAAAAACAATATATAGAGCACTACTTCAGAAGGATCTAGAGGTTGTAAATGTTGGTGGTGAAAGGAAGCGCCTCTTGAACATAGCTATGCAACTGCTCAGATGTTGTAATCATCCATATCTTTTCCAAGGTGCTGAACTTGGTCCTCCCTACACAACAGGAGATCATCTTATTACAAATGCTGGTAAGCTCTACTTATTAATAGATGGTTCTGAAGTTTTTAGGTTGATCAATAAAATCTGAGATTATTTCATTTTGTAAAAAAAATTGTTTCCAGGTAAAATGGTTCTTTGGAATAAGTTACTTCCTAAATTGAAAGAGAGTGATTCTAGGGTCCTTATATTTTCACAGGTTAGTTTTTTCAGAACGTGATTCTTGTCACTGATGATTGTGAATGCTTTGTAATTTGCAAGCCATTTTTTGTTTGCTTTGATTTATTTCTGCCTTTAAAATTTTGCTCTGCCTAATTTGTGGTTTTTCTCTTCAGATGACTAGGCTTCTAGACATACTTGAAGATTATTTAAAATTTTCTGATTAATAAATTTTGCTTTTCTTTTTCTTTAAATTTCGCTAATTTGTGGGTTTGCTTTACACACAGCACTACAAGTGTGTATTAATTTTAAAAATTTTAAAGAGTCTGCAGGTGCTTTGTATCATCAACAACTTTCTTATTTATTTTTAAATTTCTGCATGTGAAGGTTTTGGAGTGTTAAGCACATATTAATTTTCTTTCTTTTGTAGCTATTTTATTTTGTATGAGTTTAACATATCAGATATTTTATTCTTTTAGAGAACGAGAATTTGTGCTTATATGGATTACCTAATAATGAGCACTGAGAAGTAAATTTAAATTTACCGGTTGAAGAAGTTCCTTTAGAGCTTCTTGAGCCTCTTTTGGACATTAATTTTCCTAAAGATGACATGCAGGAAAAAGACTGGTTATCTTTAGTTTCTGTTCATAGTGACTCATGGTTACTTGCCCTTGCCTTTTATTTTGGAGCCAAATTTAGATTTGATAGAGCATGATTTTTAATGTAAGCCAACTCTTTATGTAATTGCTAACAGTGATTTATTTTGTAAAATATCTCATTGATTTATTTGGAGTTAATTTGTTTGTGTGATTTTTGTTATTGTAATTTGGTGACTAAGTTAACCTTAATGCACAATATTTGTCCATGATATTTATATATGAAAAATTTGTATGAGATTCATATATATGTTCATTACAGGTAATCATAAAAAAATTTAAAAACAAGCATATTTTTTTTTTAAAAAATGCAATCTACATCGATTTTTTAAAGAACAGATGTAAATTTATGTATAAATCTACATCAGTTTTCCTGATAACTAGTGTAGATTTATGCATAATCTACATCGGTTCTAAAATCGATGTAGAAGGACATAAATTTTCTAAGTCGCTTTATTCTACATCGGTTTTAGAACTGATGTATATGACTTCACATAACCGATGTAGAATATGCATCCTGTAGTAGTGTTTTATGATTTGTATTTTATTAATAATTATGCTTATGTTATTTGATTAAAGAGAATAGGTGTATTTTAATTATATTATATTATTTTAATTATTTTATGGAAAGGGAAGGAAATACGTGATGGTCATTTTATTAATTAGTAGTATTATTATTTTATTTTTATTATTTTAAGAAGAGAGTTATCATGAGTTAAGAGAAGTTACCTTACGCTTCATTTCTCCTAACTTCTTCCTTATTCATTTCCTATTTCCTTTTTACGGTCTCTGAAGATCAAGGAGAATCAAGAGAAGGAGACCAACCAGATCTTACTCGCACTTCATCTTCTACTCATCCAGGTAAGGGTGGAGTGAGAAACCTCACTCAAGGGTGTAGGAATAACTGTTGGGTAACAGGATTTGCCCAATCCTTTGCTTGATGTATGCCTACAAGAATAGACACTTTATAAAAGTTTTCTGTTTTGCTTTTTGATTGCTCTATTGTTTTCTTTGTGTGATTCTAAGTATGGATATGTGTTTAATTTCAATAATGGATATGTTTGGTAGCGGGATTGGCCCCAATCCTTTGCCTGATGCATGCTCTTAGAAACAAACACTTCTCAAATATTTTATATTTTCATGTCTAAGTTTTCTGTTGTGTTCCCTTGATGATTACTAAGCATGAATATATGTTTAATTTTGAGCTTGGATATGTTTTGATATGGATTATACTGCTCTATGGGTTCCTACGGAAAATCCTATGAGAAACAAGTAAATTTTGAATATTTTCTATTTTGGCTTCTGATTTTTCTGTTGTGTTCCTTGATGTTTGCTGAGTGTAAATATGTGTTTAATTTCAAAAATAGACAAGTTTTGATATGAATTAGAGTGTTCTATGGGTTCTTGTGTGAAACCTTATGAAGTGAAATTAGGGATATGATCTTTAGATGAATTTTGAGGCACTATATATAAAATTGATGATGGATTCATCTTTTGGGTAATATTTGGAGTGTTTTTACCTATTGAAATATTATATTACCTGGCTAATTGTAAAAAAAATGCGTGAAATCATGAAGTTGGGTTTATGACCTTTATGCTTCATATGTTATGATCTACGAATTGAATGTGTATGATGTTGGATAATTTCCTGTTATGGTTTGTGTGTTATTCTTATGTATATACTTGTGAGAAGTTCCTTGTATAAGACTATGTGAATATGATGAGACAATGTGAAAAGTAAATATGAGACACGAGACATGATATGTGACAATGAGACATGATATATGAGAAACTATGAGAAGTGAAATGATGAGTCAATGAAGTGTGAGTGTGTGACATGCATCATGTGAATCTATGTGATGAGTACGATGTGAAGTACACCATTAGGGAAGACCCTCCTTGTGTAACAGCTTGAGGGAGTCGTAGGGGATAGTGCGGTTTGGATGTCTTGATTCTGCCTGTTTGTGAGTACAAGATGTAACTTGTGCAATTTCGCTATCCCAACCATACCCTAGCAATACATACTTCTAGTTGAGTGTATGGGTAGCTCCCTACATGTACTCCTAGACTACCTTAGGTGTGTTGTTTAGGCAGCACACCAATGATATGTGATATGTGACTGGCGCCACATGCATGCATTTGTGAATTGAGTCCATGGCATCATTGTATAATGAGTGACTGTGTATGTGTTACTAATGCATGTATGACTTGAGTTGTGCTTGATTAATGTGTGCTTTGTGCTATGCTTTGTTATGATTTATGTGTGTTGCCTGACCATTATTTTTACACCTTAACCTGAGTGAAATGTTTCTCACTCCCCTGTTTGTTCTATGTGTGTCTTCTACTGTGTTGTAGATGACTAACAACATGAAGATGTTGGTGATGAAGCTTAGGCTTCAATTGGGTGTGCTCTGATAGGATATGTGACATCGGGGCGTAATTAGGACTAGTTTAGGATGTTGTTTCCATTGAGCTGTTTTGAAAACCTCAATTTCTTTCCTTTGTAATTTCTGCATTGGAGATATTGTTTATGAGTTTATGAATGTGAATCATCTACGTAAGATATTTGAGATTTTGGTTTTATTTATGAAAGATTTTAATTATTCTTATTTATTATGTAATTATGAATGTGGGATAGAGGGTGTCACAACTTGTATGTCCCTTACAGAATAAAAACTTCAAAAAAAGTTGTTTCGGACTGACACGAGTACGTTCCTCCCTTTTGGTACCTAAAAGGTGATAAGTAGTTTCTTTGATTAAATAAGAAGTGACAATTTGGTGAAAAATATTTAATGCAAATAGATCGTTCTCTCTATATTGAACAAAGATGAAGACAGACAAAGCAAGACTATGAATGATGCTCAAGATTTTGCAACGGTCATCTTCATTAAGCTCCTTACGCAAAAGGTAAATCATCCTAGTTGTTATATTAGAAATGCATAAAATTAGAGAACATGCATATATACTAGACTTGGTTACTAAAACAATGATTCCTAAGAGTAAAATATATTTTGAATTAATTGTTCTAACTACTCAGAAGATAGATTCAGAAGCTAAGCATACAACCAAATTATATATGGCAACACAAATGATCATGAGATTCAATCATACATTAATCATTTAATAATTCCATACATGGATTTAACATTTAATTTTTCTTTAATAAAATTGAACTTGTCTTTTGGAGGTGGTTTGGTGATGATATCAGCTAATTGAAACTTAATTTGGCTTAGTTGTTGTGACTCTTGTGTCTAATGTCTTTAGAATCACATATGATCATTCTTCTTCAATCGCTACCAGATACATATTTTGTGAGTTGATGAATAGCTTTATTTTGTCTCTCCAATAGTAAAAATCATTTCCATATAAGCTTAGGGGTTTACTTGTTGAAGCCTTTTCAAGAATAAACAAAGCTTGGAGTTGCATAGCCATCACTTCTTTAGGTTTTTTTCTCCTCCATTGTTAAGTGTGCTTAAATCTAGGTGTGACACCCTCTACCTCACATGCCATAACACATAATATAATATAAAATTGAACAGCCTCAATATAATAAATAAACTCAAAGTTCACACAGGTAGAGAGAATCACATTTTAACATAAACTAGACTTAGCAAAAATAACAAATACAATGGAAATAAAAATTAAGAATATTTAGGAAACAATGAATATAAGAATATTAAAATCCATGCATAATTAACAAAATATAAACTTCAACATAAGGTAAAGAGAGTCACATAACAATATGTAGAGATAAGATAAACACTAGAAGGAGCATTGAATACTCTATATCAAAAACTCACATATTTTCTACAATGAAGTGGTAATGTTGGTCAGATGAAGTAAGAAGAGTAGTCAGATGGAATACTGAGTACTTTTATACTATTTTTCTCAACCACCGAGACTATGTTCACTTCTCAATCCAATCAGATTGAGTTCCACTATCTTTAAACAAAGATACAAGTATTCTTTTAACAAGCTACTTCTGACTCAACCCTAAGTATTCTTTGATTTTCCTTTTCAAGTAATTACCAAAGTATTCTTTTAAAAATAAATCTCTCCAGGCTTAACAACCAGGTATTCTTTTACGATCAAGTCTCTCCCAACTTAAGAACAAGTATTTTTTTTAGATAAGTCGTTCTAGGCTCAACCTTATAACAATGGTTATGAAGGTTATAGAGAAGTTGTATTTGTCTCACTAAGATGTTATACAACCAATTACAGAGCAATGAATGTTTACAAGAAAGAATATATTTATAAAGAATGGGTTTTTATACAAATATATCTAAGTAAAATTAGCATCTTTATCTTTCTTGTGCTTTAAAACTTCTTATTTAATAACTCGAACAAGATGTTCGTTGCAACATTTTGAGTTCATCTCACAAATTTGCTTCGTTTGTCTTCATTGTCTTTCCTAGTGATGGAAGGTGACCGTTCGACTTATTTAATGCAAGCGTTAAATATATTTTACCAAATGGTACCTCTTATTTGATCCAGGACACTACTTATCAATTTTCCATACAAAATGGAGCTTGTAGAAGCAATTTTAGCATAGAGAAACTATAATAGTGACTTTATATGCTTTTCTCCTTGATTTTAGGAATTTGATTCTAATAGAAAGCATGGTTCTTCTCTTTAACAGATTTGTAAGTTCTGAAATGGTCTTTTGATTCGATTTATTAAGGAATGAAGCATTCAAAGCAAGCTTTGTCATTAATCTCAATAAATGATTAATATTCAATGTATATGAGATAGATCGTATGCTTTGTCTGATTAACAACATCTTATACTTCATCTGATAAGCCTTTCAAATATATGTTTCAAAGATGTTTTTGCAGACATTTCTTCTATATAAAAACTCTTTGTTTGTTAGCATTAAAATTATGAATTTAGGGATTGTCTTTTGACTTAACACAATCTCTAAAAAAATCATATTTTGCAAAAATTCAACTCTAAACACAAGTTTTATTATATCATTATGTAAAAAAAAAAAAATATTCCTAGTCTAAGCTTCAATGTCACATATCCTATCAAAACATTCCTAACACAAACTCTAAGCCTCGTCACCAACATCATCAATATCTTGATGAACATCACCTGCAAAAACATACATGACAACAAGAAATGGAAACAAAGGGAATGAGAAAACTTTTTAATCTAGCTCATGGAAAGAAATAATTAATGAATAGTTAAACACACTTAATAGATTATTTATAACATTAGCATGTGTGGAGAAAAGATAGACACTAGAAAGAGGGTTAAATAATGTATATCAAAAACTTGCACATTTTCAAGCACGTGAAGTAGTATTTGCAACAGATGAAGGGTTAGTAAGAATAATCAATGAACACGGAGTGTTTTTATACTAGTTCACCTCAACCATCAAGGATACGTCCAATTCTCAATCCAACCAAATTGAGTTCCACTAACTTTCAACAAAGTTACAAGTATTATTTTACCAGGCGACTTCTAGCTCAAAAAAGTGTTCTTTGATTGGCCTCTTCAAGCCATTACCCAAGTATTCTTTTGCAGACAAGCCTCTCCAAACTCAACCTTGAGTATTCTTTTACAAACAAGCTTCTCCAGACTTAACCCCCAGTATTCTTTTACAAGCAAGTTTCTCCAGGCTCTACCCTATAACAATGGTTTTGAAGGTATTACAAGGTTGCAATTGTCACCTCTTTTATATGCAATTACAAAAAATCGTTTAAGTACAAGAAAACTCTAGAAGAAGATGTTCTAAGAGATGTGATTGTATCTCAAGATTTTTCTATATTTATACACTTTTGTTCTCTATTTTGCTTCTTTTTACATTTTTTTTAGTTCTAGAGCTTCTTATATAGTAGCTTTGAAATAGATAATTGTTGTA